CGAGACTCGGAGTCGGCGGGTGCACTACTGAGCATTTCGCACTTACCAAGTGTCTTTCCCTTCCACAACTTCTGAGGCCTGGCCTGAGCGACAGAAGCGGCAGAAGAGTTGCCGTCGTGAGAGAGAAGAGGCGCAAACAACGATGTGGCAGACGCGCCATAGGCAGTGCAGACAGCCGCACCTGCAGTCAGGCAGTGAGGCAGCCAGGTAACGATTTGAGATGTGACGTAGTTCACGAGCGTTCAATGCGTTCAATGTGTCACCCCTCCCAATCGGCTTGAAAGGGCCAACTTTGTGTCATGCCCGTATGCGGGGAGAAGGTGACGACGGTGTTTTGTGTCAGTTTTGTGCAAGCCCACAGAAGAAGCCCAAGGGAACTTTCGCCCGAGGGTAACTTTCGTGAAATGCTTGAAATTCTTACAAAGCAGCAGACAGCAGAGGAGAGATGATGCATGGCGCTCCATGGTGGTCGCAAAATTCTTCGTAGGCTTGTTTTGCCAAATACTAGCCAGGCGTGAGAGGATCTATGGGACATGTTGGCGAACCCCAACATTAAAAATGTGCGAACCCGGCCCGTGGCATGGGAAGCTACTGCATACGGAGGGGGAACCTGGTTAGAAGAAGGGGCCCGGTGCCCAAAAGGGAAGCCCGGTGTACAGAAGGGGCCCAGTCTACTGAAGGGGCACCCGGTATACCAAGGGCAACCCGGTGTCAAAAGGGAACCCGGTGAACAAACCGCGTTCCAGTATGAGTAGTTTCGGGTGTAGGAACAGAACGGGGTGATTACTGAAAGGTAATTCTGAACGGGAATTGGGACGCGTTACAGTATATCAGAAATCCTTCGGAATGGCACTACACCCATTCCGCCGTACTTCAAGGCCCCAACACGTTGTTTATACACAGACCAAATTATTTTTAGTTTAGTGAGACGTACACCACAAGACTACCAGATATCAGAATACAACCGGAGCGCATTCCAGATTAATGAAACCTGCACTTTTTACGGTAACAATGAAAAAGAAACTGTGAATTAAAATAGATGCGGCATGGCATGTGACTAAATTGCCAATTCAGCTACGGCCAGGCGTGCGCATAGATTCCTTAGGACCGCATACGATTACACAATTGCGCCGCTTCATCTCGAGTAGCATTGAAGCGAGTCGTGTACCAATGGAAGTCAAGCATGGTCTCATGGTGGTAGTTGTCAAATGTAATTCTATGCTTGTAGGCTACAGTGAGTAGCACAATAGGGAGTACAGTTGTTAGGGTTGCATATTTGTACTTCCACACTTCCTAGTTTCATTTATTCCGTTGCATTCCTATTCTGAGATGGTATCACGAGTAGGTTAGATCCTCGTTCGTTTTTTTTTTTAACTAGCCTCCACGCCCTACGCGCCCTCCGTGCTCTCGCGCCCTCCGCGCCCTCCGCGCCCTCCTCGCGCCTAGCCCGCGCCCTCCCGCGCCGTCCAGCCTGTCGCGCGCCCTCCTTAGACCTCCGCGCGCCCTCCCCCACCGTTGCGCGCCCTCTAAAACCGTCGTGCGCCCTCCTTAGACCGCCGCGCGCCCTCCCTCATCGTCGCGCGCCCTCCTCAACTGTCGCGCGCCCTCCTTAGATCGTCGCGTGCCCTCCCCTCCGCCTGTCGCGCGCCCTCCTCCGTCAACGCTTCCCGCACACCAGCGTGCGCTTACCGCACACCTGCGTGCGCTTACCGCACACCTGCGTGCAATTACCGCATCACTCTGTGTGCGCTTACCGCACACATGCGTGCAATTACCGCATCACTCTGTGTGCGCTTCCCGCACACCTGCGTGCACTCCCCGCACACCTGCGTGCCCTTACCGCATCACTCTGTGTGCGCTTCCCGCACACCTGCGTGCGCTTCCCGCACACCTGCGTGCCCTTACCGCACACCTGCGTGCACTTACCGCACACCTGCGTGCGCTTACCGCATCACTCTGTGCGCTTACTTCATCTCTCTCCCCTTCACCTGTGCACCGGTCCCACGCCATTCCTACTGCACTTGGCTCCCGGCTCAGCGGCTGGCAGCCGCTCTTCCCTCTGGTAGCGCCACCTAGGTTCGGTTAGAGCCCCGCCCCACGACTATTTTCTCGCCGACTGTCTCTCGTCGTTTTCCCCGCTGGCGTCCCTAGCCCTCCGTAGTTTTCCTCCTCGTTCTTAGCTTCGCCTCCGCCGTGCTCCAGTCGCCTCTAGCATGGGCTCCGCTATGGAGGCCCGTCGCCTCCGTTTCGATGCTGAGGGACGCCCGATCGAGTTCGGTACCTGGCAGCGCCAGACCACACGTTTCCTCACCAGCCAGCGTCAGGACGGCGCCACTCTGTGGGCCCACGCGTCGGGTGCTCTCGCGGCACCCCCGTCCCCCGCCGCCCTGCCGACCGCCCCGGAGCCCACTCCTACGGCCCAGGCGGACTACGACCGTCGGGTCCTGGCTCGGGACGTGTGGCTCTCTCGTGACGCGGCCGCCGCCCTGACGCTATCGGAGCTTCTCCCCCCGACTGAGGCCGCTCACTTTGACCAGGTGGAGACAGCCAAGGGGGTTTGGGATGCTATTGTGGCTCGCTATTCCACCCCCTCCTCCGCCTCCCTCAGTCGCCTCCTCATGCCGTTCGTGTTTCCCGACCTAGGCTCGTTTGCGACTGTTTCCGACCTAGTGACTCACCTCCGCTCGCTTGACGCCGGTTTTCGTTCAGCCTGTACCGACGCACAGCTCCTTGTTGCTCCCCCCCCCATGTGGCTCACTGTGCACTGGTTAGTCACCCGCCTCCCTGACCGCCTTGCCACTGCCCGCGACGCGCTTCTTCAAAAGCACCCCACTGAGCTCACTATAGACCTCCTTCAGACTGCTCTCGGGACCATCGAGAGCAGCCTCCTCACCGTTGCCTCCGCCACTGATGCGGTGGCCCCCCGTCTCTTTGCGGGGTGTGCCGCCCCTCAGCTTCCCACTTTCACCTCTACCCACTTGTTCGCTTGTTCTGAGAGTAGTGTACCTCCACAAACAACTCATCTACGATTTGTTCCATGCCTGGTACACCCAACCAATCTGCACGGACAGAGAACAAGCAGTTCACATAATAAGGGGGCTGCACGCAGAACAATGTGCAGAACAATGTGCAGCAGATGCAGGAATGAAACACGAGACGCTCTCACAAGGCATCAAACGACACAGGCAAAAAAGAAGAAGGCCATCCATCCGTGTAAAGGCCGGGCTCGGTGAGAGAACAAGCAAAGGTCCAGCAACATCCGCTCACAATCTAGTAGCGCCCCCTCGGCGCCTTCTATATCCATCTTGACCACCACGGTGTCTTCCGGGGTGAGTCGCAGCTCCTCCAGCATCCACCGCGTGGCGTTGATGGTGTTCTGCCGTGCAGGGGAACAAACGGACGGGATTGAGGTGGATTGAAGATTCAACAGGTAGGCTAGTAGGCGTTGATGCTGTTCTGCCGTGTAGGGGAACAAATGGGCGGGATTAAGGTGGAGTGAAGATTCAACAGGTAGGCTAGTAGGCGTTGATGCTGTTCTGCCGTGTAGGGGAACAAATGGGCGGGATTAAGGTGGAGTGAAGATTCAACAGTTAGGCTAGTAGGCGTTGATGGTGTTCTGCCGTGTAGGGGAACAAATGGGCAGGATTAAGGTGGGGCGAAGATTCAACAGGTAGGCTAGTAGGCGTTGATGCTGTTCTGCCGTGTAGGGGAACAAATGGGCGGGATTAAGGTGGAGTGAAGATTCAACAGGTAGGCTAGTAGGCGTTGATGGTGTTCTGCCGTGTAGGGGAACAAATGGGCAGGATTAAGGTGGGGCGAAGATTCAACAGGTAGGCTAGTAGGCGTTGATGGTCTTCTGCCGTGTAGGGGAACAAATGGGCAGGATTAAGGTGGGGTGAAGATTCAACAGGTAGGCTAGTAGGCGTTGATGCTGTTCTGCCGTGTAGGGGAACAAATGGGCGGGATTAAGGTGGAGTGAAGATTCAACAGGTAGGCTAGTAGGCGTTGATGGTGTTCTGCCGTGTAGGGGAACAAATGGGCAGGATTAAGGTGGGGCGAAGATTCAACAGGTAGGCTAGTAGGCGTTGATGCTGTTCTGCTGTGCAGGGGAACGAATGGAAGGTAGGTCTTGTGGGAAAGCGGTGACAGGGGGAAAGCAAGAGCGATGCACGATGATGGTGTTCTGCTGTGTATGGGTGGATGGGCGGGATTAAGGTGGAATGATGGTGGCATTGATGGTGTTGTGCCACACACAGGCAAATGGGCGGTAGGCCTTGTGGGGACGCGGTGACAGGTGGAAAGCAAGAGCGGTGCACGTCTCAGCCTATGTATACTTGTGTGGGCGAGCAGAACCATGCCCGGTTTTCCGATGCACATGCAACTGCAGAAGCAGCACGAGCAACGAGCAGCAGCAGCACCACTACCACCACTACCAGCAGCACCAGCAGCATGAGTATGAGCAGCACGGTACGGTACATTATCTGGTTTGTCTTCCATCCCAACCAGTGTGTTGTAGAAGTGAATACGCTCCAGCATCCACCCGGGGATGGGCCCGGCCCATGCCCCTTAGGCCTGAGACGCGAGCCTGAGGTAATGGCACTCGTGTTGAGGGGCTGAGACGGATGGACACGATATGGGTAGAGATGGGAGGAGAAAATGAGAAGGAGCAAACGGTGCTTAGAGCGCAAAGAGCACTGTTAACTGGGGAGAGAGATTCGGTTGGCTGGAGAAAGCACCACGCAGCACACAGAGAGACAAGCACACAGAGAGACAAAGACACAGAGACACACACATGTGTGAATACGCACTGAGGCGAAAAGACGAAGAAGAAGGACCAAAAGAGGTGTGGAAACACGCAGCGCCAGCAGCAGCATCAGCCGCCAAGAACCACGCAAAGCATCTGAACAGGGCTCAGAAAACAGCGCACAAATACATCACACCCCTCCCCACCCACCCACACCCACTCATCCATCCTGCCAGCCACAGCAAACCGTCACCCTTCACCGTTTCCTCTCCCCCGCGCCCTTCACCTGGTCGTTGGGCTGGGGCACGGCGAACATGCCTTCCTGAACCTCAAAGGCGTGAATCTCAGTGAACTCGAGAGGGTACATGCGCAGGAACCACGTCACACTCGTGCTGAACGCGTTTGCACCAAAGTCTATCAGCACTCGCCGCGGGCTGGAGAGAGAAAGAGAGGGATTTGGGTGTGGTTGGGTGTGGTGAGGTGCGGTGGGGTGGGGTGGGGTGGGGTGGGGTGACGCGGGGTTGAGCGTGGTTGGCTTTTGTGGGTGCGGTGAGAATGCCTAGCCAGGCTATGGAAGGAATGACTAGAACTGTTTTCTCTACACGGTTTCAGCGAGAACAGGCTTAGTAGGAGTAGGAGGAGGTCAGGCTTAGTAGATATGCGAGAACAGCAAGAGGGAAAACAAAGGGCGTGGGAACAGGGGGGGAAGGGAATGGGGGGAGGGGGAACGACGGGAGAGGCAATAGGAGGCCAGAGGGGACGGAAGCAAGACAGACCACTCACTCGCATCCCTCCCTGCCCAACCCCGTCTATCCTCCCCCAACCCCCCTCCTCTCCCTCCCCCTCCCCTCACCCACCCACCTGCAGTGCATACAGTGGTCGATGGCAGCACGAAGTGGTACAGCAGCAGGCAGTGGTCGCAGTGGTTTCCTCCTCTCTTCCCCACTCACACTTCCCCCCCTCCCCGTCCAACCCTCACGCGCTCTCACCCACCTGCGGTGCAAGTGGTGGTCGAGGGCAGCACGAAGGTACGGCAGCACGTGCATCTTATCCTCCTCATAGTCCGCATAGCTTTAGAATGAGAAGCTGCCTCAAAACCCCACCTGCGGTGCAAGCGGTGGTCGAGAGCAGCACGAAGGTACGGCAGCACGTGCGTCCTGTCCTCCTCATAGTCCACATAGCCCGGCGTGAACCCGCGCCGGAAAATTAAGTCCGGCTCCATTGCCTCTATGCCCATTGCTGACCGCTATACTATACACTTACAAAATGTCTTTCCCTTCCACACCAGAGGCCTGGCCTGAGTAGCAGAAGCGGCAGATGAGCCGCCATCGTGAGAGAGGAGAGGCGCAGACAAGGATGTAGCAGACGCGCTGTAGGCAGTGCAGATCGTCGCTTTTGCAGCAAGGCAGGGGTGCAGGTAACAATTCGAGACGTGACATGGTTCACGAGTGTTCAACGTGACAAAGCAAACCCTGGGTTCCGACCGAAATCGCTGTGAATTTCGCACCCCCCCCCCATTCTTGGGATGCAGCGCTTACATAGCAGCAGGCGGTAGAGGCGAGATGATGTGTGACACTCCATGCTGATCGCATTACTTCGTAGGCTTGTTTTGCCAAATTCTAGCCAGCCACGAGATGAGTGACCTGGTGGATAGAAGATGTAACCCGGTGCACAGAAGGGGAACCCTGTTATGAGTTGTCAAACAAAGTTGCGCGGAAAACGAATAGCGAAGCTTGTGACTGAATTAATTCATGATACGTTACAATGAAAGGCACGCGATTATATAGTGAGTGTTACGAGTGCTACTGAGTGAGCGAGAATTACACTATCGAAGCAAGAGTCCAATGAGCGAAGGCATGAGCGAAGAATATATAGCGAAACCACAGTAGTAACGGTAATGAATTGTGGTTGTCGCGCGACGGGCCTGAGGCTGAGCTTTGGGGAAATGTCGAAGCGGAGGCCCGGAGCGCGGGTTACCCGCCGAGCCGTGAGGTCGGGGTGCGACGTGCGAAGGTGGCGGGAGGATTGTCGATGCGAGGGTTGCGAGTGGTAACGGTGCTGACTGTGGTGCTACAGTGGTGTATGCGCTGAACGGGGACGCGAAGTAAGGAAAATGAATTTTCCTTACACAATCCCCCCCCCTTAAGGAGGTCCTCCTTACGAAAGTGCGTGTACATCCCTGAAGTTTCGGCTGCACAGATACTCTGTGAGGACGGGGTGGTTTTGGACTCTGTCCAGGGGAACCCAGTTGTCTTCGGTGGGTGTACGGTCTTTCCAGCGGATGAGGAACTCGATCTTTCGGGCTCCTCGAGGGTCACGAACTCTGTGGCTCAGAATTTTCTCGGGTGTGATGATTGGTTCAGTCGGCGGTCGTGTCATGCTGGCTGGGCGATTACGTTTAGCGATGATGTTTGATTTTTTTATTGCGTCTGCTGCTCGGGTCCGTGCTGCTTGTAAAATTTCGGCGAACTATTGTGCTCGTAGCACCGGGATGTCGGGATTCGGGGTCATGGGTACTGTCGGGTCTTGTCCGTAGTTCAGGTAAAACGGTGACTGTTGGGTCGTGGCGGACGGTGAGTTGTTGTATGCGAACTCAATGAGTGGCAGCTGTTGTTCCCAGGTGGTTGGGTCGTCGCACGTGGCTCGGATGAGTTGCTCCATAGTCTAATTTGTCCGTTCTGTCTGTCCGTCAGTTTCGGGGTGGTACGAAGAACTGAACTGTAGTCGCGTGCCGAACTGCTGCCACAGGTTCCGCCAAAAGTTGCTGGTGAATTTCGTGTCGCGGTCGCTGATTATCGTTGCTGGTATCCCGTGCAGTCGAACGACGGTGGAGATGAAGAGGCGTGCTGTTTCTTCGGCTGTGATTGATTTTTTGCAGGCTGCGAAGTGTGCCATTTTCGTCAGAAGATCGACGACGACAAGGATCGCGTCGTTCCCACTCGCCCCGGCCGGTAACCCCGTGACGAAGTCCATCGTCACCTGCTGCCAAGCACGCTCTGGGGGTGGTATCGGCTGCAACAGTCCTGCCGGCCGCTGCCGTTATGATTTCATGAGCTGGCAAGTGGGACACGATGCCACGCGTCGTTGTACGTCTGTCAACATTTCGGGCCAGTAATATTACCGCTGCAGCTGCTGCCGTGTTTTCTCTACCCCGAAATGCCCCGTGTGAAATAATGAGGAATGAATGAACTAGGAAAGTGTGTGATACAAATATGAAACCCTAGAAACTTGTACCCCTTAGTGTCTACCCCACTAGAGCCTACAAACACTAAGTCATATATATCGGACACACCCCCATAGGCAAAGTGGGGGAGAACTAGGGGTCACAAGACCCCTCAAGCAAAGCAAGCTCAGGGTGGATAACAATGTCACCACACATTCCGAGCACCAGTTCAAGGCCACAAGGCCAGTTCACATGCAGGATTATATATAAAGGTAAACAAGCAAGTGCAGGTATAGATAGACCACAGTACAAGCAAGGTCAAGAAGTGAGCAAGTGAGGCCAAGTAGGCACAAGACCTAGCATCGTACAAAAGCGCTGATGATCACAAGGCTGAAGTGCCTTGGTAAAGATATCAGCAGTGTTGGCCCGAGAGGCCACGTAAGCAAGGCGCAGCTGACCACGCTGCTGCAGCTCATGAGCAAGGAAGTAGCGAAGAGCAATGTGCTTCGTTCTGTGCTCCAGTCTGTGCTCCTGACACAAGGCCAGCATGGCTTTGTTGTCTACGTACAGAACTGGAGGAGAACGAGGCGGCTCTCCTAGGTCGGTCAGCAGGTAGGTGAGCCAGCGTAACTCCTGTGCAGCCATGGCTCCTGCGTAGATCTCAGCCTCACAGCTGGAGCCGAGAACAGAAGACGAGCGGGTAGACCGCCACGAAACAGAGCCGGAACCAAGGCTGAAGGTGTAACCCTGTGACGACCGCTGCGTAGCCTGGTCGTCCGCCCACGAGGCGTCTGCGTGACCAGTGAGGACCACTGGACTCCGCCCTCCAAGCACAAGCCCCATGCCCGACGTACTGCACAAGTAGCGCAACACCCTCTTCGCTGCAGCCATGTGCTCTGGTCTGTGTCTCCCAGGAGCAACATAGCGTGCCAAGATGCTAAGAGGGTATGCAAGCTCAGGTCGAGTGCAGGTCATCAGGTACATGAGGCAGCCAACAAGCTCTGGGTACGGGCCACTCGGCTCTACGGACTCATCCGAAGGCAGAGCTGAGAGCGAGTGGCGAGTAGACAGAGGAGTGGCCTGAGGCGAGGAGTACGTGAAGTCGAAGCGCTGAAGGACCTGCTGCACCATGTGTGACTGAGTCAGGGTAATGGTGAGCTGTGCTCTGTCCCGGGTGATCTGCAAGCCAAGATAGCTGCGCAGTTCACCCAGGTATGTGCACGTGTGTCTCTTCTGCAGCTCGGACTTCACGTGGGCGAGTCCAGCAGTGTCAGCAGTGGCAAAGACCAAGTCTTTGACGTACACGAGGATGTAGAATGGCGGCAAAGAGGTGTCGGTGCGTAGAAACAGCGACGGGTCGGCAGTAGAAGGAGCAAACCCAAGAGCCGCAAGTGTAGTCCTCAGTGTGTCGTGCCACTCACGGGGCGCCTGGCGGAGACCGTAGACTAGCCGCCGGAGGCTCCACTGGGTACCAGGAGGAAACGACCCAGTGAAGCCAGGTGGGCGGCGCAGCCAGATCTCCTCGTGCAGGCTGCCCTGCAAGAAAGCTGTGCTGAAGTCAAGAGAGTGAAGCTCGTAGTCGCGCTGAGCGGCTATGTGCAGCAGCACCCGAAGAGTGGTCATCTTCGGGGTGGGAGAGAAGGTCTGAAAGTAGTCAACTCCCTGCCGCTGACTGAAGCCTCGAGCCACGTAACGCGCCTTGAAGACAGGCGGAGAACCCGGCGGCCGCTTCACCCTGAAAATCCACATGCCACTGACGATGTTCGCCCCAGGTGGGGGAACCTCGTCGACGTAGGTGCCTGTGGACTTCCAGGAAGCCATCTCTGCGTCCATGGCTGACTGCCACTGAGAGGAGTAGGGACCCTCTATCGCCTCTGTGTAAGAGCGCGGGATCGGGATGTCTGGTGCATCCGGGTCTCCCTCAGGGGCAATCAGCATGGACACGAGATGAGGTAAAGCAGCAGCAAAACACTGGAACTCCTCCTGCCTGTCCTCAAGGACGTCCGTGCCAAGAGCACACTCACCCCCGACGGACAGAGGACAGACAGACTCAGACTCAGCAACAAGACTAGCAGCGTAGTCTAGACGACAGTGAGCAGCGAAGTCGACAAGCTCAACAACTAGGGCAGACGCAGCAGTGGACTCAAAGGGAGGGTCAGTGACAACAGTAGCCAGAAGACGCGTGACTATAGGATTGCCAGCACGAAGAGAGTCAGACTCCGGGTCAGCAAGAGCAGGAAGAGAGGACTCAGGAGGAGACGGCAAAGGGACACGCAGTGGAGCAGTGGAAGGACGCAGTGCCATCTGGTGCGTGCCTTGGACCGCAGGAGGACGATGACGCGGAACACGACTACTAGTGCGAGCAGCACGAACAGGCGACGCAGGACGAGACGCAGGCTCACGACGTTCAGCAAGACCTCCAGTAGGACCAGTGTAGGGAGAAGGAGCAGGCAGTGGGGAGGCGGGCTGTAACAGTGACTCAGACTGGACAGGCGGTGGACACTCTAAGGAAGGAGCAGGACCAGCAGAAGGCGGGAGACCAAGAACCTGCTCAAGGAGCGGAACAAAGTACGGCCGCGGCCGTGCAGCACCTCCAGAACCAGCAGGTACAGCACCAGCACCCCCAGCGGTAGCACCAGCGCCAGTAGCACCCCCAGCTCCAGCAGCGCCAACTCCAGCACCCTCAGAAGCACCAGCGCCAGCAGCACCTCCAGCGCCAGCACCCCCAGCAGCTCCAGCGCCAGCTGAACCACCGGAAGACTCAACAGCTCCAGCTCCAGTAGCTCCAGCAGCACCTACCCCAGCAGCTCCGCCAGCTCCAGCTCCGCCAGCAGCTCCAGCACAAGGAGCACCCCCAGGCCCAGCAGCTCTAGTACCTCCAGTACCAGCACCTCCGGGACCCGTGGCACCAGTACCCTCAGCAGTAGTAGAACCTCCAGCTCCAGCAGCACCTCCAGCTCCAGCAGCACGGCTCCAGCGCCGAGAAAACCACTCGCACAGCTCCTGTGGAGAGGGTAGCTCCCGCCGAGATGAAGCACCCGAAGGACCTCCAGACCCAG